GAACAGTCTGGGCTTGGGCTGTCTCCTTGGCTTGGGCTGAAGGATGTGGCATGGATATTGGCTTGCTGCTCATGGAGCACTTTCTCTGGGTGCCCCTGTGTCTGCAGGGTAACCAGGAGGCATTTGGGGGACACTTATATCTTGAAAGCATTACTTCTAATCAATGGTTGGGTTTAACTGTGAGGCTCAGTCACCTGTGTGTACCCATTTTTAGAGTGCATGGTGCTTGCATGAACTGCATCAGAATGACCGGATGTCCTTGTGGAAGAACCTGATGTGAGGCATCTATAGCCCTGAACCCTTGCTGAACAGAAAACCTTGGAAATCACTGATGGTTTACCTCAATGCAATGGAGCTGTCCTCTCCACTTGTCGCTTGGCCTTAAAAGTTTCTTGGTTTGTGTTCCATTGTAGATATGTGCCCCTTTTGCTTCCCCATCCATCATTAGATGAACTCTTCTGTTATTTCTCTATCTTAGCTATTGTGAACAGTGCTGCAATAAACCTGAAAGTGCAGCTGTCTCTTTCACAGACTGACTTCATTTCCCTCCCATATGTAGCCCACAGTGGAAATACTGGGTCATGTGACAGTTCTAGTTTACTCTTTTAGGAAGAGCCTTAAAACTTTTCCATAATGGCTGTCCTAATTTACATGTCCTACACCAGTGGGCAAGGATTCCCTTTTCTCCACAAGGAGGCCAGCATGTGTTTTTTGTTTCATTTTGTTTTGTCGTTTTTTTTTTTTTTTTTTTAGAGAGAGATTTTTCATCAGATGGTCCATTTCCCCAATTGTTGCAAACTGCTGGAGCTGAGACGATCTGAAGCCAGGAGTCAGGAACTTTTTCCCAGTCTTCCCATGGGTAAGGGGTCCCAAGGATTTCCCACTGCTTTCCCAGGCCACAAGCAAGAACTAGATTAGAAATGGATCTGCCAGGATTCAAACCCGTAGTATATGCCAATGCCATAGGCAGGAGCTTTAGCTTACTATGCCATAGTGCCAGCCACAATAAACTCCTTTTTGAAAGGAGTGAAATATTTTGAGAAACTTCAAACTCTGATCAAACAAAATAGTAGTCAATATACCCTTGAATCCCAGGACTTGCAGGACACTGATACGCATATATTTGGTGTGGTTAGTGAATTATTTGTCAATAAGGTTTTCTTATGACGAAGACAATTTTGTTACCAAAATGTGATTTTACTTAACATTAGAAAGAATTTAAATTTTATCTATCCATCGAGTATGAAAAAAGTTATCTCTGTGGAAATGATATGTTGGCTGAGGATCATTTAATTCATGATACATAAAAATCATTTTATTCTTAAAAATTGAGCCTTAAAATAAAAAGCCATTAGAAGTCTAAAATAAAATCAGTAGCATTTGTGCTTCACTGATGAAAGTCGATACTTTTATTTTCTTGATTATTGAAGTATCATTCAACAATAGATTTTTCCATGATGTAGAAAAATACATACTTAGCAAAAAGTTAATTTGCTAATTTTTATGCTTTATTTCTTATTATTGGAAAGTCAAATATATGGAAAGGAAGAGACAGAGAAAGGAAGATCCTCCATCTGCTCATTCACTTCCCAAGTGGCCACAACAGCCAGAGCAGAGCCAATGCGAAGCCACAAACTTCTTCCTGGTCTCCCATGTGGCTAAAGGGTCTCAAAGATTTGGTCTATCCTCAACTGCTTTTCCAGACCAAAAGCAGGGAGCTGGTTGGGAAGCAAGCCCACCAGAACATGCACTGGCACCTATATGGGATCCTGGGGCCTACAAGGTGAGGACTTCAGCCACTAGGCTATTGTAACAGGCCCTACTTTCCTATTAAAAATTGAAATTATTTTTCCAAAAGAATTTTCTTCCTTTATTGGGTATGGTCCATTTGAGGACTTCTTCCTGTGACCTAATCACTTCGAGAATGTTTCACTTCATAGTACATCTCCTTGGAAACTAGCTTTCAATATAGGATGTTCTAAAAAGATTTATTTATTTATTTATTTGAAAGGCAGAATTATGGAGGTGGGGAGATGAAGAAAGAGGGGGAAGAGAGAGATCTTCCATCCATAGTTTACTCCCTGAATTGTGCCAATGGATGGAACTGGGCTGGTCTAAAGTTAGGCACTCTGAACTTCTTCTAGACATGGATACAGGGGTCCAAGGACTTGAGGCTCTTTCACTGCTTTCCCAGGTGCATTGGCAGGCAGCTGGATCAGGAGTGAAACAGCAAGATCTCAACCTGGCAACCATGTGGAGTGTCCACTGCTGTGTGGCAGAGCTGCTCCATGGAAATATGTTTTGAGTGACATGAACATTCATTCCATTTTATAGAGAAGTTTTCTGAGGATGGCTAATGACTAGTTCTGATTTAAATCCATAAGGTGGCATATTTGCATGTGATTTGCCCTAGTAGGAACTGGTGATTTAGAAAAGAAAGCATTTTTTTTTTGTATGTGTAACAACAAAAATGTTTGACCTTAAGATTGATTAAAGTCAATGAAAGAAACAGGCCCAATGCGAGAGCATAGTGGTTAAAGTCCTCGCCTTGCACATGCTGGGATCCCATATGGTCCCTGATTCTACTCCTGGCGACCCTGCTTCCCATCCAGCTCGCTGCTTGTGACCTGGGAAAGCAGCCGAGGACGACCCAAAGCCTTGGGACCCTGCACCTGCATGAGAGACCCAGAAGAGGCTCCTGGTTTTGGACCAGCTCAGCTCCAGCTGTTGCAGTCACTTGGGGAGTGAACCATCAGATGGAAGATCTTCCTTTCTGTCTCTCCCCCTCTCTGTATATCCGCCATTTGAATAAAAATAAATAGAAATCTTAATTTTAAAAAAGTCAATGAAAGCTAAAGGTTTTGACAGGAGAAATAAACAGGTTTCAATTCCCTTTTGTGAACATACAGTAATATATGGCAAGCTCAGGGGTTCCTGGCAGTCAGACTGTGTCCCAGGTGATGTAGCTATTTTCCTCACTCCAGAGAGGAGTCTTTTCCTGAGCTAAAACAAGGTCATAGAACCTGGACGGAATCTCATTTATCCATATGCAATGAGGCTTTAATTCCTAGAGGCAACCTGTCTAGCATACAGGCTGACTGGGTGCGCTTCCTTCTTCTCAATGCCTGTGTGTTTGATGTGCTTTAATCTAATACTGAAGAACTGAAGGGCACTAAAAGATATTGACTGCTGAATTGTGTAATTCTGGAAGCTTTTCTTACAAGTTTAGACAAAACCATGATCTATTGTTTCTTTGCATTCCAGATGAATTCCCATACATAATAACCATTCCAGCATAGAAGAATTTCCATAAGAAATCAAATCTGTGACAGCAAGTCAAGTCAGCCTTACCAGGGAGGGAGGAGCACTTGTGATGAAGAAAATCAACAAAGTCCATGCGAATGGATCCCACTGGAGGACCACTGAGGCATGCCCCCTTAATGTAATATACATCCCTGCACAAGAGTTTATGTGACACTGCCTTCACTAGAATTCCTGAACAAGCTCTGCAGCACATCTTTGATTCATTGAATCATTTCACAATTATTATCAATGCTAAAGTATGTGACAACTTTTTTTACCTTGGGTGTGTGTATTTAAATAAATTTGATTACAGCAAATGATACTGTTTATCTAATTTTCTGAATAGCTGAACAGCCCTCTTACTCTGCTTTTATTTCCTTGCATCTGTGTCCTGATTCTTTCTTGATCTATATAATTTTTTGCCAATATTTTCTTGTTGACTCTGTCATGTACCCATTGCTGACTGTGTGTACTGAGACGGTTGCGGGAAAAGCAGTCACGCCAGTTGCCATCACCACCTCACTGCCCTTTACGAGATCATCCAAGTGTGCCACATGCCAAGCATTCTCCTCATCAGTACTGATGGGTTCTGAGGACTGGCTCAGCTGCAGATTGTTCATGCCAGTTTTTTTGGGTGAGAAACTGGGAAGTAATTAGGCATTGATTCACAACCTTGGGCAGGCAGTGGCTCTCTGATGAATTTACATGGAAGCAAGAAAGCACTTGGATTTCTGATTGGAGGGCCCATCACAGCTTAAATCATACCTCTAAATTTGTAACGCAAATTATGCCTATTCATCCTGCTGTGTCTTTTTGCTTTACAAATTTCCTCTATAAATGTTGTCATTATTTCCCAACTTGTTTCCCCCCCCTTTTTTTTTTCAAAATAATTACCTGAAAAAGAAGCTAGATCTCTGGGATATCTGGCCCTAGTAATCTTTAACAATTTCTCTTTATTTTTAAAATATCTTGAACCAAACTTCTATGCTATCTATATTGTACAATGAGCACACTAGGCCTCGTGCAATGGCTCCGTTGGCCAATACTCCTCATTCAAGTGCTGGGACCCCATATGGACACTGGTTTGTGTCCTGCTCTCATACTTCCCATCCAGCTTCCTGCTTGTGGCCTGGTAAAGCAATAGAAGATAGCACAAAGCCTTGGGACCCTGCACCTGTGTGAGAGACTTGGATGAAGCTTGAAGCTCCTGACTTTGGCTCAGCTCTAGCCATTGTGGCCACTTGGAGAGTGAATCAACAAATGGAAGATCTCCCTCTCTTTTTCTCCTCCTCTTTGTATATCTGACTTTCCAATTAAAAATGTAGGGCCAGGCATGGTAGCTTAGCGGCTAAATCCTCACCTTGTAGGTTCCAGGATCCCATATGAGTTCTGGTTCTAATATCGGCTACCCCGCTTCCCATCCAGCTCCCTGTGTATGGCTTAGGAAAGCAGTCGAGGACAGTCCAAAGCCTTGGGACCATATACTCATGTGGGATACCTGGAAGAGGTTCTGGTCTCCTGGCTTTGGATCAACTCAGCTCTGGCCATTGTGGCAGCTTGGGGAGTGAATCAACGAACAAAAGATCTTCCTCTCTGTCTCTTCTCTCTTCTCCGTATATCTGACTTTCCAATGAAAATAAGTTTATTCTTTATATATTAAGATAAAATAAATAAAATAAGCACAAACTTTAAACAAGAAAAACATTATCAAGCTTTAATTATAATGCAAATTAAAATTTTCATGTCTCAAGAAAGAAAGAAAAGTAGGGTGGAAGGAAGTCAAGATAAAAAAGACAAAAAGTCAAAGAGAGAGAGAGGAAAAAAGGAAGGAAGGAGAAAAGAAAAGAAGGAAGGGAGAGGAGAGAGGAGGCACAGGAATATGATGACATTATTACAATTGTATTAGTGAACCACATTGAAAATTGTTGTTTTGTGTTAATATAATAGTAACAAAAAAATTGATTAGAACTGTGTTCTAGGAATTATCATGCATTTACTGTGACCTTTATAATCCAAATTATTTAAATTACTTGCTTTTTAAAAATTCATTTTTAAAAAAATGCCTAGTTAAATAGTTTCTTAGCTTTCCAAAAGAAATCTGAAATAATTACATTATTATTTAGAATCCATGAGAAAAAATCACTATTTTCATTGTTTCCAAACTCTGTAATTCGTCGATTTAGCTCTTCAATTACTTCCTTTATAGTTTTTAATTCTTTGTTGAGCATTCCTTCTATAACCTATAAAATGGAAAGAGTGTACTCTTTAAAACCCTGCTTATTGTCGGTATTTAAAGCACGCATGCCTACTTTCCCACCTTCTAGAGTGTTTTAGAAGAGTCTGTTGAGCATAAATAGAAATTTGGATTTGCATAATGGAAAGCCTTGGTTTTACACTGGCGAGATTTCCTTGGCACCATTTCCCCAGGTTTGCAAAATTTTCTCCCAACACAAAGAAACCCAGTGGTACAGATTTTGAGTTAAATTCTGTGTTCTACTGAGGTAGCACAGCTGAGCTCATCTAGCATACAGTGTAGTACTGACACTTCAAGGATGCTGTTTGTTGGGATCAACAGCGTATGTTTACTTTAGTTGTATAGGAAGCACCAGGCAGATCAGGAAACAAATGGGTAGATTTAAAGATTTCAGTGTTCCACACTTTACATCAGACTGGCAGATTTCTTTCAAGTCTCTATAGATTGTGTCAGGAGTCCCACACACTAGCGGAACAAGGTCCTATTGAACTGGTACTTCATAAGACCATCTCATAGCAGCAACAACTAGCAGTCTATTTTGGGGCTGCCAAGTGTGCCCCCTTAAAATCTGACACTACAGAATGTGCTGGAACCTTCTAGATTCCAATCCTCCATCAGATCCAGATGCAGTTGCGGATGCAGTGGAACATTAATCGTTCAGATTTTCTCTGGGATCAGACCTGTGCTTCAAATTTGTTTTTTCTGTTCTAAGGACCCAGGAACCAACCCTGTCCTTCTGGCATTTCCCAGTCCCCAGCACACTCACCTTCAGCTTTTGTTTCAGCACCTCTTCCTGCTCTCTCAGCTTTTGCTCTATCAGCTTTTCCTGCTGTCTCAGGAGGGTCTCTTTTTCCTTTTCCCAATTCTCCTTTACGTGGATGATGACTTCTTGGGCTATTCTGTGTTGATCTTCCATTGCCTCCCTCTTGGTATTCTTAGCTGCTCCACAAAAATTTAGGAGAAAAGAAAATCAGTCCTGAGTTCTATACCAATCAACTTTCAAAGACAGGCAGGAACCGGAAGAGAAGCTCTGAATTCTCACAAGGAATGCAACCAGAGCATGTTTCAAAAAGTGCAAGAAAGGCGCCAACGAGCTGGATGTGCAACCCAACTCTTCTTGTGACTTTTAGTTTAGCAGAGTATGTTCTCTACATTAGGTAGAAGACTCTGGCTTCAAGAAACTCTTCTTGGCCAATTCATAGGAAAAGACCAAACAACCCATCCATCCTCCTGTGAGCTGGGCTCTGTCCCTGTACCTTCTAAGGTCTTCTCCATGTCAGTGAGAGCCTTGTCTGCATTCAGGATGAATTTTTCTGTTGCTTCAAGTGACTCTAAGAAGCACTGGAGGACCTCATTTGCCTAGGGAGCCAAGAAGGAGGAAAAACATATCAGGTATCCAAATATTTGATGTGAAATTTAATACTTTTTTAAAGATTTATTTTTATTGGAAAGTTAGATATATAGAGAGGAGGAGAGACAGGAAGATCTGTCCAATGATTCACTCCTCCAAACAACCACAACAGCTGGAGCTGAGCCAATCCGAAGCCAGGAGCCCAAAGCCACTTCCAGGTTTCCACGCAGGTACAGGGTCCCAAGGCTTTGGATTGTCCTTTACTGCTTTCCCAAGCCACACGCAGGGAGCTGGATGGGAAGCGGGGCAGCCTATATTAGAACCAGCACCCATATGGGATGCTGACGCTTTTAAGCTGAGGCCTTTAGCAGCTAGTCCACTGCCCTGGGCCCTGATGTAGAAATTATTGTTCAGCAAAAATACAAATGCTGTAGCCTAGTGACTTAAGTCCTTGTCTTGCACATGCCAGGATCCCACATGACCTCCAGCTCTAATTCTGGCAGCCTCGCTTCCCCTCCAGCTCCCCGACTATGGCATGAGAAAGCAGTCGAGGACGGCCCAAAGCCTGGGGACCATACACCCGTGTCAGATACCTGGAACAAACTCCTGGCTCTTGGCTTCAGATACGCTCAGTACCAGCTGTTGTGGCCACTTGGGGAAGTGAATCAGAGGACAAAGGTCTTCCTCTCTGTCTCTCCTCTTCTATATATCTGACTTTCCAATAAAAAGAAATAAATCTTTTTTTAAAAAAAAAAAGAAGTACAAATGTGAGCTTGTTGGTTCTAGATCCTTCTTAGGCCAGAGCAGAAATGCCAAGCTCTTTGGTAATGCATTCTGCTTCCAGAATAGTCCCCTTCTTAGCTGTTCAATCTCCTGTCCCCTTGATGTAGTCTACCGACTCAGGATAGAGCCAGACTGATTTATGTGCAATTCTACAACTCATTGCCTCTGTTGCTTACAGGATTTGCAAATTCTTTTCTTCTGCTTTCATGCTGTTCCCTCTGTTAGGATAATACGCACAGTTACTTGACCTGTAACTCTTACGTCCTTCAGCAACAGGCTTTCCTAAAATACCTTCTGTGGTTTCTCCCCATAATTATTGAATTACGATTGACAAACAGCAATTTTGTGCATTCTAAGGTGTATAACATGATGCTTTTATGTGTGTATGTATGCCTTGTGTTGCTTTTACTATAACCTATTTAGAGTAACTATAACCTCATGTAATTTTGATTTTTTTGCAGTTAAGACACTGGAGATCCACTCTCATGGCTCATTTCCAAGCCTATAATGCAGTTTCTTAACTATGTTCACTCTGCTGTACATTAACTGTACAGAAATATTTCATCTCCATAATAGAATGTAATTATTTTTCAGTATTCCCTTTCCTTTTTTAAAGATTTATTTATTTTTATTGCAAAGGTAGATTTATAGAGATAAGGAGAGACAGAAAGATCTTCTCTCTGCTGGTTCACTGCTCAAGTAGCTACAACAGCCATAGCTGAACTGATCTGAAGCCAGGAGCTTCTTCTGGGTCTCCCATGAGTACACAGTGCCCCAGGCTTGGGCCGTCTTCACTGCTTTCCCAGGCCATAAACAGGGAGACAGATGGGAAGTGGAGCAGCCAAGACATGAACCAGCTCTCATATGGATGCCCACACTTACATGCAGCAGATTAGCCGACTGAAACACCATGCCCTCCACCCCTGCAAACCTTTCCTTTTCTGTCATGTCCTAGGACATTTCATTTTCCTCTTTGTCATTATGTTAACTTTGTTTTCTTCCTCAAGTAAATTATGTAGTATTTGTCTGTTAACATAATGTTTTCTATGTCTGCATTGTCATAAATGGCAGAGCTTCTCTATATGCCTGGATATGTGTGCATGTGTGTATATAAATGTTTAAATGTATTTAACAGTTGTTCCCACCCTTCATCCATCAATAAATACACAGGTTGTTCCCAACCTTTTCTGTTGTGGATTACATGGTAGTGGATCTGTAAACATAAATACCTGTTCAAGTTACTGATTTTCTTACCTTTGAAAATATACACAGAAGTACACTGAAAGTTATTAACAAATAGGATGAAATTGCAAAATATAAAGTCAATCTAAAATAAAAATTTATATAAAATATAAAATAATAAAATATAGCATTAATAACTATTTTTAAGAGTAAGAAAACTGGGCCCGGCGGCGTGGCCTAGAGGCTAAAGTTCCTTGCCTTGAACGCACTGGGATCCCATATGGGTGCTGGTTCTAATCCCGGCAGCTCCACTTCCCATCCAGCTCCCTGCTTGTGGCCTGGGAAAGCAGTAGAGGACGGCCCAATGCTTTGGGACCCTGCACCCACGCATGGGAGACCTGGAAGAGGTTCCTGGCTCCGGGCTTCAGCTCAGCACAGCACCAGCCATTGCAGTCACTTGGGGAATGAATCGTTGGATGGAAGATCTTCCTCTCTGTCTCTCCTCCTCTCTGTATATCTGACTTTGTAATAAAAATAAATAAATCTTTAAAAGAAAGTAAGGAAACAATCTCATTATAATAGCATCAAGCCATAGAATACTTGGAGATAAAATTAGCAAAATTGTGTAAGATATGTTATCTGTAAAGTTCAAACCACTTTTGAAAAAAATTGAAGAGGTAAAACAAATGTTTCTTATGTTCATTGGTTAGAGGTATAAATGTTGTTAAAATGTCCATACTACACAAGTATCATGTGGCATCAACACAATCTCTATCAATATTATAATGACCTCTTTGCAAAAATAACAAAAACAATCCTGCAATTCATGTCTAGAACAAAGGACACTGGGCAGCCAAAACAATCCTGAACTACAAACTTCAGGCATCTACCTACTTGACTTAACAAATCACCACAAAGCTATAGTACCATTGGCATCATCACAAAAGCCAATACACAAACCAGTGGAGCAGCACAGAAAGCCAGGAAATAAGCCAGGCACACGCTGATTTGAATTAAGGTCACTTACTGATTGAATAAAGGTAAGCTGATTTGAATCAAGGTATCAGGAAGACACAGGAAGAAAAGGTTTTTCCTCAAGAAGTTATGTTAGGAAATCTGAATACTGTAAGGTAGTGAGACAGGCCCTTTATTTTACATCTTTAAAAAAAATCAAGTAAATGTTAAAGATTCAAGGTTTTACCAGAAGACTTGAAATTGCCAACCGACTAGAAGAAAAGATAAGGGAACAGACATCTGACACTAGCCTTTGCAATGGTTCTTTGGTTTTGGCTTCAAAGGCACAGGATTTAACCCCCTGCTTTTTTTAGTGTTATTTTATGAATCTATTTATTTCAATAGTAGTGTTATGCAGAGGGAGAAACAGACTAAGAGATATTCCATCTGCCGGTTCACTCCTCAAATTGCCATGCAGGTCAAGGCTAGGCCAAGGCTTAGCCAGGAGCCAGTACTTCTTTGGGAGATCTCCCACGTGTGTGGGGCAGGCTAGGGGTTTGAACTGCTAAGGATGACTCTAGGGACGGCTGGAACTGGGTGTGTTGAGGAACCAGGGCTCCTTGAATGGAGCACAAAGCCAAGGGAGGCAGGGCTGGGGCACTGAACATCTGGAAAACACACATTAAACCATGAAAGATATCCACTAACAGCTGCTAGAATGGCAATCTGCAACATTGTGCCCTTAGAAAACAGTAGAGGGGCCCAGCGCAGTGGCCTAGTGCCTAAAGTTCTTGCCTTCAAAGCGCCGTGATCCCATATGGGTGTCAGTTCTAATCCCGGCAGCTCCACTTCCCATCCAGTTCACTGCTTGTCACCTGGGAAAGCAGCCAAGGATGGCCCAATGCTTTGGGACCCTGCACCCATGTGGGAGACCTGGAGGAAGTTCCTGGCTCCTAGCTCCGGATCGGCACAGCACCAGCCATTGTGGTCACTTGGTGAGTGAATCATTGGATAGAAGATCTTCGTCTCTGTCTCTCCTCCTCTCTGTATATCTGACTTTGCAATAAAAATTGAAAAAAAAAATCAGGAAGTAGTAAGTGAAAGATCACTGTTGTTTACAAGTGTAGAAAAGAGATATAAAGAGTAGTAATCAAATCTCAAGATGCCAATTTTGCTCAAATCCATTACTTCTATTTAGACTCTATTAGAGAAAATTTATGATATTTTTTTTTTTCAGATTGGCCTATTTTACTAAGCCTAATGGTCTCCAATTGTATCCACTTTGTTACAAAAGACAGGATTTCATCCATTTTGTGGATGAGTAATATTACCTCGTATGCTTATAGCACTTTAACTAGTCGTAAGTCGCTAAACGTGTGTGTTGATTCCATTCTTAGCTATTGTGAATTGATGCAAACATGCAAGGCATAGATAACTCTTATGCTTATTTTATTTACATTGAATAGCAGGTTGAAGACCTCTTTCTCTGTCTCTCCTTCTTTTATTCTCATTCTGTCACATAAATAAAAATAAACCCTTCTCAAAAAATAAAAAAAAAATAATGGCTACTATTCATGATTCAGAAGGTTACAACTGCTGCTCAGTATGTGGAAATAAGGTAAATGTTGCACAGTTGTTGGTGGGGTATAAACTGCTGTCACCATTTTGAAAACAGTATGAACCTTTGCAAAAAAAAAAAAAAAGGTGTTTTTAATAACTTTAAGTACAAAAACAGTCTCATCCGCCCAGCTACATGCTGATTGTGTGATCTTAGGCAGCTAAAATGTTCAGTGCTTCACAATAATAGGGATGATTTAGGAACTACTTAACAGTGTGCTAGGAATTAAATTGGTAACCCAATAAAATAAATTATTTCTTGTATAGAGAATTAACATGCAGTGAATGTTAGCAGTGGTCATCAGCAGCAGCGTCATCAGCATGCCAGTGTGATGACCAAATTCAAACCATATCCAATGCACTATGAATTTGTTCGTGCCAATGGTCATGAGCATCTTGAAAGCCATTTTCTGTATTTAGCATAAAAATTGTTCACTTGAGAGAAAAAAATAAAAACTACTGCACCTGATTTCTTGATTCCCAAGAATCTGAAAAGAAATATTTGTCATTTGTATGGGAATGCATAACTACGTATGAATTTTAAAAGTCCACAAATGTCAAAATATTGCTGAGTGAGTCCGATTCAACTTTCCTTTTTATAAAATTTCATTTATTTTTATTTGTAAGTAGGTTGACAATGAAAATGAGAGAGAGAGGAGAGAGAGACAAAGAGACAGAGAGATCCTCCATCCACTGGTCATTCTCTAAACATCTACATTATTCAGAGCTGAGTCTATTCAAAGTTAGAAGCCAGGAGTGAAGAGGCAGGGGTCTCTCTCCGGGGTGCAGGAACTCAAGGACTATCCTCTGCTGCCTTCCCGGGCCATGATTAGGGAGCTGAATCAGAAGTAGTGAAGCTGGGACATGATCTGGTGCCCATATGGTATGCTGGCGCTACAGTCAGAGGCCTGGATAGCTATGCCACCAAGCTGGTCTCCTGGTTCTATTTTCTAATAACCTCTTTGAGGCAGGCTACTTAATAAGAAGTTTATTTAGCTCACAGCTCTGGAAGCTTCAGGGCATGACTCTGAAAAGGGTGGCTCTGGCTGTCACAGAGTGTGGCATCACAGCAGAATTTTTAGAATGAAGCAATCATATTTCCAGAGAGAAAGACAGAGAATGATTCAGGTGTCCGCCAGACTTTTATGACTACTTGATCTTAGCAAAATGAACGTAGGATCCACTGAGAACTCTTACTTGCATCTCACTTGAAGGCAGCCTCTCATGACCTAAGGGCCTCTCACTAGGCCACATTTCACTTGTCACATGATCACACTGAGGACCAAGCCTCTCACATCATCTGTTCTAAACTGTGGTGATTTTCATGATCTGCTTTCTCTCCATGAGAATTTTGTGGTCCCCATTTTTAAAGACAGAAGCTAAGACCCCAGGAACCTCTTCTGTTGATCCATCCTGCCCAATATCTCCTTAAAATTTGTTACCTTTACTCCTTTCCTGGGCACCAGTTTATAGTCCTGTTCAACCTTTCTTCTTGCTTCTTGGTAGAGTTTGTGGCCTTGAGGAACACAGAAAGTTCCTCTTGAAATATTTTCCATCAGGGACTCGGAAAGCTTCTTAATCTTAGTCTGGCAATACTTGGAAGATGCTTCTTCATTCTGTTGCAAGAAATATTCCTTCTTCTTCTCTATGGTTTCCTGCCAGGGAAAATTAGGAACACACATTACAAAGAAGTTACTTGAAGGGAGGGTTTCTATGATACCCTTGAGAGACGCTCTCAGATGACCTCTCAGAATGGAACAGACTATGATTGGTTTTTTAACATTCGCAGAACTCCTTATTTCTCCTAGGAACAGGCTGAATATTTGTCAAAGATGGCCTGGAAGAGTTGAGTTTTCTGGTTCTATAACATGTAGGATGATTAAGGGAGACAGGTCCACTGAGACTAAATAACAGAAAATTGAATTTTAGTTTGGAAATAAAACTTCCTCAGAACATACGGGTTGTTATGGGCAGAAATATAACTAAATTAGAATTGGTACATCAAATTGCTTGGAATTTACAAGCATATTTCAATATATTTTAAAATTCTTTTAATGGTGTCTTAAATTTTTGAATATGTACGAAAGAAATTTTTTGTTTAGACTTGAAAGTTAAAATCCATCTGGATTTCCTCAGTACAAATTGAGGAAATTTTTTGTTTATTTAGTTCAGATCTGGACAGACTGAAGGATACACTTTGAACAAAGGTGCCTATGATGGGATCTTCCATGACTCTTCTTAATTTGATGTCAATACCCAGAGTAGTTGTTGGGTATGAAACTGTGACGACTACCACCCTGTGATCAGATCATGATGCAGAGCACACATTGGCTTCAATGGAGAATATCCTACTTGGCATTGACCGAACTTATAAGCCCTTCAAAGGAAGATTTCTCTACCTGTCAGAAAGGGAAATCAGGGTAATCAGAAATAGGACAAAGATTTGATTAACATTCCTAGCTTAAAAATGGAGTGGGCTTCTTAAAAACCCTCCTTTAAGTCCTAAGCCCTTTCTTTCTAAACATCAACCTTTAAAAATTTTATTTGGTTTTCTTAGGATATATTTAATTATTTGAAAAGCAGAGTAACAATGGGAGAGAAAGAGAAATAGAGTTTCCAACTGCTAATTAACTCCTCAGATGACTACAACAACCTCAGATGCATCAGAAACCAGAAATCCATCTAGATCTTCTATGTGGGTGACAGGAGTTCTAACAGTTTAATCATCTTGTACAGATTACTTAGTTGAATCAGCAGGACATTGGATCAGACTCGACACAGCCAAGACTTTAAACTGTACTCCTAGGGCTTTCTACTGTCACAGGTTGCAGACAGCTTAACCCACGGCACCATAATGACAGTAAGTCCTCGTGGTATAATCTTTCAGTCTGTCTACACTGAGCAGAAGACCCAAACCTTTTATGGATGCTAGATCTGCAGAACTGTGTGATAATAATATGTGCAGTTCTAAAGCTGCTAAGCACATTATAATGATTTTGTAGTTCTAAAAAACAAATAAAACAAAATGTCCCTCCTTTAAGAAAAGGGAACAGCACTTTCTATAGATCTCTTCCATTCTTGAGAATTCAAATCTCTTCTACTATAGTAGGGAGATGATCATGGGGTCAGAAGTTAAACTTTAGGCAAGATTCAAGAAATATAGAGTCAGGAAGGATAAACACTAAAGTGTGTACCATGAGAGTCTTCTGAAAGTTCTGGTTCTCATCCTTGAAGGAGTGCTCCATGAATACTTCAATGGCTCCCTTCTCACAGGCTGTGTGCACGTCCAGCAGCTCCTGGAGTGTGTCTGTGGGGAACATCACTCGCTCAGCCATCTGTGCCATGTAGTGGGTGGCTGCCTTCTCCACAGCTGCAGTGTTCTCACGTTCAGCCAAAGTTGTCACTGCGTTCTCCAGGCAAGGCACTGCTCCACTGTTGATGGCATTCACGTACATCTCTACCAGACAGCCCAGTCCTGAATAACATATAATAGGATTTTCACATGCTTTACAAGTTAGCATTCTAAAATTCACAAAATTCTGTTTATCTAGAAAATTCCCTCTTCTCCCTTTTCTTCCATCTTCCCCTCTTCTGCATTTGCTCATGTTCTTCATTTTCAATTTCTCCCTATAACTTCTGCTCTATGCAACAACATGACTGTTTTTCCTATTCATCTGTTCCATTCTAATTCTTAAATTCACCAAATTGCAAAGCTAAATTATAATTAATTAACACTATAATATTACCTTACCTGTTCTTGAAAACCACTTTTCCAAGTAAAAAGGATAAAATAGATTAATATTAGAAAAGAAATTACATAATTTGTGAACTCACATTCCAAATGAAATGCTAGACCCTTTGTCAAAAGTAGCTTTAGTTATTTTAAGCCAGCCAGACTGACATGATCCCATTTCTGTGAAGAAAGTCCTGTACGTTTAGGCATAAATGGTTTTCTGAAATTATTGCTTAGTTTTTATTGGATCATGTTCTATTGGTTATATTCTGAATGGCCTAAACTTCTATAATATTTTGTGTATTCTCACTGAGAAACTCTAATCCTGTAGAAACTCTTATCCTGAATATTTTTCTGTAATAGTATCATTAATGAGTTGCTTGCACCACTAATGAATCCCTTTCAGGAGATACACTAGGACTCAGCAAGTCTGCATAAATAAAGATAATTTATTGGGGAAATTTCATCTCTGTGTGTTATGTCTTCCACAGTTCTATACAGAAATAAACAAAATAACTGACAAACCACACTGAACCACAGAGAGACATCCTTTGAGACAAGTGACTAAAGAAACTCACGCTTTCCGGTGACAGTGACTCCTGACCCCAAGGTCTTGACCTTTCCACGAGTGGAGATATAGGAGCAGAATTGTTCTGATTGGGACTTGAAAGCGGATTCCAATTCATCTTCTGACACGTCCTGAATGTGAGCTAACAGACTGTTGTCATTTGTAGGTCGGTGAAAGACAAAGCACTTTCGTTTTGGAAAGAAATCTCTGATGCACTTTCTAGTCATGTTGGAAGTTTGGATTCTGGGATTCTCTCCTACAGAATATCAAAAGGGGCATTCAGTGAAGAGATAGTTTGAAGGCAAAGGAGCTGAGGGATTTTCAAGAGCATTTGCACTGCTATAGCATCCATCCCTATAAATCTTGCTTTTCACAATTCTACAAGGCAGTCTTAGTTTAATCTACCTAAGGCATGGTGAATCCATTTCTGCATAGAACTAATTCAAAGGAACACTCTTAGGAGGAATGGGATGTATCCATTGCAAATAAAATAGTTATTTTGGGTCCTGGGTCCATCTTTTGTGGTGTATAGTCACTATTTCTAAGTGTTTTTAATAATTGACAATAAAATTTACAGAAATATATTTATGATATTGCAGTCAATCATCAGAAATGAAACATGAACTTAAAGTATAATAGAAATAAGAAAGAATCAGATTCAGATATCTTGGGGGGAATGTAAGATAATAGATAAAATTCAAGGCATTAAAGGAAAATATTTTGAATCAATAATCCATACAGCATTATGATAGTAAACTTCAAAATAAAGTTTGTCTTAATATAATTTGAGGAAAGCACTGCTCCTCAAAGTGAGCTTCTGTAGGCTTGTCAGTGTTTTGAAGAAGGATTCTTAGAACCATATTGTTTTTCAAAATAACTATTTGTTGAAAGAATAAACAATAAGAATGAAAGACAAGAATGAAAGGCGGGATATATAGATCTAGTAAGCGTCATTAGTTGTCTGCTCCTCTAATGCAATTAACACACTACATTTAGAGTAGAAAAATGGTAGCACATTGCCTAAGAATGTAGCCTGAAGAAAGCCATGATGTTAAACAAAAAATGGAAGATTCAGCATTATAATTAGAGGGACAGAGCAGTGTTTTTTTCCCCTGTACTATTGTGGCTGTAATTATGAAGGTTGAAACAACTAAGGAGAGTAAAACATATCAAGTGAAATTTGTTTTTAAAATTAGCTCTTTTTATTTCATAGTGATTTTTTTAACTAACTTTGAAATATGCTATTTTTTTCAAAATAGTATAGGAGGAAGAAATTAACCTAATAAGTAATAAGATACATGAGGCTCATATGTGACAGCATTGATCAGAGTCCTCACATCTTTTCATGATACTGAATAGCTTAAATTGATTACTAAATATTAAATAAATAAAATTATTATTAAATAAATTATTTACTAAATAAAGCACCAAATATCTTCTTGGAGTTTAAATTTCTTCCTGTGAAAATTTTCGGTAATGGTTGGAAAAGTCATGGCCTTTCATCAATCACCATTACCACAAACCTCAATGTTGTCACAAATAAACATTTATTTTAAGTGCAAAAGGACAATACTGTTGATCCCACCTTTACACTGCACAAGCCACCCCCAGGCTACATTCAAATACCTGGAACCAGCTTCAAGGCATTCTCCAAGTACTCATCTTCCGTGATGTGGCGTTCCTGTAACTTCAGCTCCAGGCTGAAATCCCGTACAGCCCAAACAAAATCTGGGAAAAAATGCACAAATTCTGTGTGGTCCTCTGCTTCATCAGATGTGGGGGAAGCTCTTGTCCTGATTAACTGAGAGAGTTCAGTCACATAGCTGGGATTTAGTTAAGAAAAAAACACCGCATACCACAAATTTCACATCTTAGAAACGAGCTGCAAAAACCTTAGCTTATCTCTCTGTCCACTCATACTTAACCAAGAATATTGATTCATATAAAGAAAGTCTGGACATACTATAGAGCAGTGGTTATCAAAACAGCCTGGTACTGGCACAAAGATAGAGAGGAAGATCAATGGAACAGAATAGAAGCACCAAAAGGGAACCCACACAGATACAGCCAATTAATCTTTGACAAAAAGACCAACAACAGTCCAAGCAAATGGGAAGGCCTCTTCAGTAAATGTTGTTGGGACAACTGGATGATAGCCTGCAGAAATAAAAAGACAGACCCACATCTATCACCATACACTAAGATCCAATCTACATGGATAAAAGACCTAAACCTACATCCAGAAACCTTCAAACTCTTGGAAGAAAATATTGGAAATACCCTGCAAGACCTAGGAGTAGGTCCTGACTCTCTAAGAAGGACACCAAAAGCAATAGCAGTTGAGAACAGAATAAACAAATGGGACCTCATCAAACCAAGAAGCTTCTGTACAGCAAGGGAAACAATCAGCAAAGTAAAAAAGCAACCCACAGAATGGGAGAAAATCTTTGCACACTACATAGGTGATAGGGGGCTAATCTCCAGAATATACAAAGATCTCCAGAACAACCAAAACACCAAAACAAACTACTCAATTATGGGCACGGGAAATGGGCAAATATTTCACAAAGGAACAAGTCCAAATGGCAAACATATGAAAAACTGCTCCAGTTCCCTGGCAATAAGGGAAATCCAAATTAAAACATCAATGAGGTACCACCTAACACCAGCAAGATTGGCCCACATAAAAAAGAACACCAAAGACACTTGTTGGTGAGGATGTGGGGAAAAGGGAACCCTACTCCACTGCTGGTGGGGCTGAAGGTTAGTACAGCCTTTATTGAAATCAGTATGGAGAACACTTAAGCAACTCAAAATCTGCATACCATATGACCCAGCAATAGCATTCCTAGGAATATATCCAAAACACCTGTTTCATGACAAACCAACATGCACCCCTATTTTCATAGCAGCATAATCAGTAATTGCAAAAACATGGAAACAACCAAAATGCCCATCAGCAGAAGATTGGATAAGAAAGCTTTGGTTCATCTACTCCATGGAATACTACTCAGCTATTAAAAATAAAAACAAAATGCAGTTCTTTGTGGCTAAATGGGCCCAACTGGAAACTATAATGCTAAGGGAAATGAGCAAATCCCAAAAGGTTAGGTACCACATGTTTGCCTTAATTTAACCTGTATTTTTTTTTTATCTTGTCATTGATACTGTCTCAACACATGTGTTTCAAAAAATTGCATTATTTTTAACATATTGCTTACCCAATACTATGTCAATCAATTTTTTAACACTATGTATTGTTGCTGATGTTATGTTGGGGCTTTTAACTGACCGGGATTTTACTCTGTTAGCTTTGCCTTCAGACCAGAGAAGGCCTCCCCAAGAAGCCATTAAAGTTATCAGGACAATAAGATGCTGGACTCAATGCTGGGTATGTGCTTGCAATGAAGGAATCTCAACTGAACTTGAACTGTGGTTATGCACCATGGGGTTGTGGAGGGTTGGGGGAGGAGCGGGGGAAATCTAAGCACCTATAAAACTGTATCACATAATACAATGTTATTAACAATAAAAAAAAAAAGTCTCAGATTCCATTCCACTAAACACAGTGACACCTGGTGGCTGCTTTCCTGGAAGGATACTGTAGCTGCTCCAGGGCCTGGTGGTTGATGGTGCCCAGGCTGTTGTAGACCAAGGTGCTGCTCAGAAGCACAGCCAGGGCAAAGATCCACGAGTCATTCTTAGGGTCTCCCTGGAAAATACAATCATAATGCTAAAAATGGAACCTCATTTTTATAGGTATATTGATTGCATCAATTTTCCTTTTTAAAAAATATTTACTTATTTTTATTGGAAAGACAGATTTACTGAGAGAGAGACAAGAAGAAAGATCTTCCATCTGTGGTTTACTTCCCACGTGACTGCAATGACTGGAGCTGAGCTAACCTGAAGCCAGGAGCCAGGAGCTTCTTCCCAGTCTTCTACATGGGTACAGAGTCTCAAGCCTTTGGGCCATCCTCTGCTGCTTTCTCAGGGCAACAAAAATGGAACTGGAGGAGAAGTAGAGCAGCTGAGAAATGAATCAGCTGCCAAATGGGATCTTGGAACACGTAAGGCAAGGATTTAGCCATTAAGCTATCGCAACAGGCCCATACTACATCAGTTTACTTAGCTATTGAGATGAACAAATGAAACTCTCACTGTAGATAGAATATTTCATAAACTGCTTAAACACAAACATATACTGTTAAGCATGCAAGTATTCCATTACAAATATTTTCTCAATAATAACTGCACTGAGCACCAAAATGCTATAAATTCACCTCAATGGCTCTTTACTGGAACAGGTTGTGCATTTGGTTTTGTGCATATGAATATCCACGACAGTTCCTGCCCTCGAGAAGATGACTTCAAAGAACAACACATCAGTCAACATGTAATTGTAAACAAAAATAGGATATTATTAGTAAGGAGTGCCACCAAATGTTGTGTCAAAAACAAAACAAAACAAAAAAAATTGGAGGTTGGCATCCTAGCGCAGTAGGCCAAGTCTCTACATATGGTGCTGGCATCCCATTTGGGTGCTGGTTGGTATTCAAGATATTCTACCCCAAGCCAGCTCCCTAATTATTGCCTGGAAAAGCAATGGAGGATCTTTCAAATCCTTGGGCCCTAGGTGGGGGACCTGGAAGAAGCTCCTGATTCCTGGCTTCGAATTGGCATAGCTCTGGGAGTTGTGGCTATTTGGGGAACGAACCACTATATGGAAGATATCTTTTTCTCTCTCTTTCCTTTTTTCTCTAAACTATGACCTTCAAATAATGAATGGATAGATAGATAGATGGATAGATAGATAGATAAATCTCTTTGCAAAAAAAATGAAGAGATGGAGGGCCATTTCTGTGAATAATTACTCTGATTTCAGACCAAGAAGTGATTCTGTGTGATTGGGATGTTGCTGCTGCAGGCAGTAAACAGCTGAGCTTTAAAGAGTTCATAGACAGAAAATGTGAAAATAAAGGTTTCAAGTAGGCATAAAAACAACAATGCCAAGTTTGAATTTTCAGTTCACAGTCATGTAAAGATATTACAATCATCCTACTTGATACATGATGGAAGGCAAGAAGAACCTGGCTATAAGACTCATATCAAGACGGGAAAGCTTTAATCCTACCACACCGTCAGCAGACAGACCGCCCGCCCCCCAGTAGTATCTTTTGTGTTTTTGACATGTTTCAGTTTCTTAACAAATGTAATTAGGTCAATAGAAGGTGGCCATAAACCATAATTTACCATTTAAAAAAAACAGTTCATATTATTTATACCAAACTAATGATCAACATTTCTATCTATGTATCTATTTACTTCAGATTTTCTGTGTGTGGATCCCTCCAATCTTTTTACACTGGATATGAACGTTCTCTTGTTCTATCTTTCAATTTAGACTCAGTCATAAATAAAGGGAAAAATATTGTAAAACATCCAACATCTTCTCATTGCCATGCTTAATGTTATAACTTATGCTTCAGAGAATGCAGAGAAGAATTCATCCCCAAAGCTCAGAGACTTGGATTAAAAACTCATGATAAGCAGTTTATCCAGAAATCATTTAAGCAGATTTTTTATAGAAGCTTGATTTTCACCGTTCCTACATCCAACCTGATCAGTATCACAGTTTAATAGATATTATTGTTTGGGAATCCCTCCCTAACTCAAATGATCAGATTTATTTTCCACTTTCTGTACTGTTCCTATCTAGTATAGATTGCATTTCTTATTTCCTGTCTCTACAGCTGTGCTCATTACCTAGTTTACCTTTGTATCTGGATTATTTCGAGCAGTGTCCCAGAACTAACTCATATATTCAAATTTGCTAAATCATTCTCTCTAGCACTAAAAATGAAAATAACTATTCAACATACATCAAGATACTTGAGGTTATTAAAAGAGTTTGAGAAAAGAGATTCATCCTCTTTGCCTATTCTTGGAGTCACAGTTTAGAGAAACACAGATGGTGAAGTGATGTGGCAAATTAAAATATAAGAACATTCTCTCCCTTACCTTCTCCACGTCACCCAAGCCCTCAGTGTCCAGAAGAACGAGGGTGTGGTTTCTCTTGGAGGGGTGGGGTACACAACACATCCAGATGCCCTTGGTTTCAGATTGTACTGTGGAGCCCAGGCGGAAGCCTAAAGGAAAGAAGAGAAATAACAGTGTCAGCTGGTTGACTAAGATATCCAGGGGTTACATTTGTTAATGCTGTAGAAACGTAAGCACTCCTCAGGAAAAAAAATATATATTTCAGAAAGAAAAACGAATTATATGTACATCATATATGCATGATTTTCTAAAAAGGTATTCATCTTCAGAGACTCAAACCATGCCACATAATAGAATTCATATGTCTACAAACCTACATCATTTGATCTGAGGCTCTTTTGCCCACCAAGTTCTCATGGAGTTCAATCTTGGAGAATCACGAATGAAGGCAGGCATGCATTCCTCCAACTTCCACCCTGGGGAGTCACAGTGCTCCAGGGGATCCCTCCTCTATCTCACAGCCCCTGTCACGCAGCTCCCTTCAAAGTTCTGGTCTTCACTATATGTTGGCATCTGTTCATTGCTTCTCTGTTTAAGCTATAGGGATGGTAACATCTGCCAGATCATCATTGCCCTTCCTGAGTGATTTTCTACGTTTCCCACTTGTGCTCCTGTCAATAGTAGCTCCATTGTGTTTTCAATTTCTTTTGAGTGGATCTTTCGTGTCCTGCCAGAAATTTATTAGTTTTATGGTTTTAATCACTTTTCATCCATCCCCCGCATTTTGTTATTTTGCTTTCTTTCATTCAAGCTGATAATGAAATCTATGTTCTTTGCCTCAGGATGGAGATATAAGTCAGGGGTAAGTGGAAAAGATCTATAAGGGCAATGGGCCTTAATTTAAAAAGACTGAAATTCTCAGAGAGATTATTTGAGGATCATGTTCAGTAACCAATGGAAGGCATTTCCTGCCCAAAAGACTGCTCCATGCCCACGGTGTCTGTGTTTTACTGTCTTCTAAAAACTTGGCCATACTGTGCACTCTATACATGTTTGTGCTTAAAATTCTTTCTGAGTAAATGGAAAGAATCTGTATCAGTAAAATTGAACTCCACTTCTCCCACATCAGTCTGACTCATGAAGCATGATGGGAGCAGACCTTTTTCTTTTTGCTTTACTCAGAACATGGAATGATGTAGAGTCAGACTTGAGATCTTTAATGAATTTTGGAACCACAGACTCCATGCGCACAGGAAATTTATATCATTGCTTTTGGACACTGAGTGAACAATAAAAATAATGCTGTGGAATCATTTGTTCTATCAGCTCTGACTCCAGCTTTATGTTTGTTTCCTCCTGGTGATAGAAAATATTTCCCACTTCCGAGATTCTTTCTTCTGTTTCTTTCATCCTATTTTGGAAATTCTCCACTGTACTTTTAATTTGCTCCAATGTATTCTTCATTTTTGATACATCAGGCTTCATTTGATTCATTTCCTGTGTGACATATTCTTTAAATTCCTTAAACTCTTACATTACGTGTTTCTCATTTTTGATAAGAAGTTTTATAACAAATGTTTTGAATTCTGTATCCCCCATTTTCTTGATGTATTCCTCAGTTAACTCTGAGATTGGCAAAGGGTTTTGCTCCTTTTCAGGGGAGACTTCAGTAATATTCATTGTGCCTTTGTCTCTTCTTTTGCTCTTGGCCATTGTACTTCTGGTTATCAGATTCTTCTCCTTGGGACAGCTCTGTCACCCACAGGTCTACAGTTCAATTTTACTTACTGCAGTTGGTAAATGGCTCTTTGTTTGCAATCACTTGTGCCACTCTCCCCAGCAATTTCCAGGTCTGGGCTGTTATGTTAGGTTTCCAACACGGTCTCTGTAGCCCCAACTCCTGGCTCACTGCTCTCCACCTCCTGTGATACCTTGCTGAGGCTATACTGTTGTCTGTATGACCTTTCTCCCACTTCCTATTCAAACAGTTCCCAGGATTAGGGAGACACCAGGAGTTACACAGTAGGTTGTTTGGTGGTGCTGATTTTGCCACAACCTGTTAGCCACTATGTTTGAGGGTCACACAGACCTATTTTGACCCAAAAGATGCCAAAGTTCATATTATTTTCCCTTTGGGACCTGTGCGATGTACTGGGCTCAGAGAGTTTGCTCCCAGTTCAGCACATGCACTGCTCACTCTTATCCCTACAAACTTAAATTTTTGCCTCACTGAACAAAAAGCCTCCTGATGTGCCATTACTAGAGTTCTTGATCTGCTGGCCATCAGGTCTGAGGGCTACCCACACCTATCTTGGGTGGAACCTGTAGGATGCCACATCGTTGCAGTTCACTGAGCCAGAAATAAGTTCACTTCCTGGTCAGTGCGTGCTCATTTCTGTCCCGTAGCCTTTGTCTCTCTAGACAAAATGCCACCTGATTCAGCTCTAGGGGACACACTGAGCTGTGAAATCCACTCTGTTCCCACACCACCTGTCTGGGATCTGCCACTCTGTCTATGCTCCTGTTAAATCAAACAGACCAGCAGGACGGGTTCTTTGGGTTCACCTCCTGAGCTCTCAGTGAACATCCTTTCCCACTATGTTGCTGCTGAAGTTCAGGCTGCCAGCGCAATTCAGATTGCCACTGGCTGAATGACACTGGGGTACAGGTCACTGCAATACCACACCTTTGTGTCCGCTGCTTTCCCGTGTCTCCCGGTCTCCAGGTACCCATCTGCTTTGTTCTGTCCTCTCCTATTTGCTGGAATGTGCCCTCTCTGCTTCACACTGGCTAACGTTTCTTCTGTTTAAATGTATCTCTACCCTATTCCACCTTCTTCTCTCTGAAGGAAAATGAAATTAAAGAAAGAAAAATCAAATAGAACAACGGACATATTTTTGCAAAAATTAAACAAAAATCCAAAGTTCCAACTGGTAGGAAAAAAAAAAGAGAGTGACTCACAAAATGGAAAATATCAATGGCAAATATTTGAAAACATGCTCAAACCTAGCATTGGCTATTGGTCAGCCAAAATTTAAAATTTGCCTCACATCACCATATTTTGGACAAGATGTGTAATAGTCTCTATTACTATTAGTAAACATGTAAATTGCACATAAAGCTGCTTAATATATCAGGAAAGCCTGGAGATGCACACACTTTCCAATCTTAAACTATATTCTTTTGGTATTTTTTGCAGGTACAAATACGTGTATATACCAAACATGAATACAAGAAAATTTGTTGAAGCTTCACTCATGAAAGACAGAAACTGGAAATAATTCCAATATTCACCAATGACAAACGGAAATAGTATTCTCAATGGCATGATGTTAAAAAGTAAAAATAAATTAATTACCAACATGTATGATACATAAAGGATTCTTGAAACTTCTTGCTTTGTGAAACAAGACACTCAAGACTAGAGATAGCATAATCCCCCAAAATGAAGCAGAGAATGTCCAAGCGTACAGCTGTTAGAGTGCATAATATGCTGTACAACAAATTTTTAAAGTAAGAGTGGAAGACAGGTACCCCAATAACCCAAACATTGAATCACTAGTGAGGGTATGAGGGATGTCACTTGTACTTCAGGATGCTGGAAACTTTTTGTTTCTTGATCTTGACTATACAGATTCTCACTTTATATTTACCAACTGTATGTATATATGTATTACATATTATGTTTTACATTTTGGAAAATCCTAAACACAGAAAGGGGAAATAAAATTATTACAAGGGGAAGAAAAATAAAGTGTATGGTAGACTAATTGAGTTACTGAATATTTGGTAATTCTAGCATGCATGCTTCTGACTATCCAGCTTTCAACAGCTTTTTATTATACATCGCTGTATGCATCTCTTCTTCTGAATGAAAATGGATTCTCAATGTATCTTAATATGAGACTGTTGGACTTAATACCATTCTGTATACCTATAATATCAGAATATACTTAAATAGTGGAATTATAGACTTGTGAATGTTGCTGAGGGACTAAACTATTGTTACAATATCAGGGGAAACAGTGGAGGGAAGATAGTAGAGGGGAGCAGAAGGTGAAATGCCTGAGCCTAGGGAACTGCATCATGAAAAACAAAGAATTAAAAATAGCATGTGCTACTTGAAGTGAACATGTTGCTTGGGAAAAACTGATTTTGGAGAGAAATAATCTCTGGAACCAAGCTCCTGAGCAGGTGAGACTGTAAGATTAGAGTAGCAAACTCACAGTGAGCAGGTGAGAGTGATAGAGATCAACTAGACCGGTGACCAGTGATTAAAATGTTATTTGGGATGCCTACATCTGATACCAGAGGCCTGGAATCAAGTATCATCCCTGCTCCTGATACAGCTTCTTGCTCCGGCACACCCTGCGATACAGCAACTGGTAACCCACTGAACAAATGGATGCAAGATATCTATCTGACTCTCCTTCCTTCTCTTTTTCTTTCTTTCTAATAAACAAAAAATAATCTTTTTGATTGTGAAAAAAAAGAATTAGTTGACTATATCTCTTGAAAGAATTAAGTAACCCAATAATAGGTTAAAGTATGAGGTTTTCTGGACATCTCTGGCATAAGTTGTAAATCTGAAAGCAAGAGTAAGAGGTTTCCTTCTTAGAATGAGTCATACTGAGTCATACTTTCAAGTGTCCCTGGATAAGTTATGATCAGCTTGTGTTGTCACTAGTCCCAAGCAAATGATCCCTGCCCCAGGCCCACACTCACCATGTTTCTGTCCTGCCACACGATTCAGGAGATAGGATTTTCCTGTACGGCACAATCCCACAATGGCCACTACCACCACAGGTTGGGATATCCGGTTAAGAATATTTAAGGCTCTGGGATTCACCATCAGCTGTTCATCCTTATTTTCCACCAGGCAAATGGCGGTCTTTCTAGTGAATTTGAATGTCCTGTAAAACTGAAATTGAGATAAACCACTCAGTTAAAAAAGGATCCTAAAGTAGTAGCTGGCAGCTTTTTGAGGTGATTGCATATGAACGTTCAGCTTGGAGCTGTGTAGTGTCAATTTCCTGTGTTTTATATGCCTTAAAAGAAAAACATTTCATCCAAGATGCCTCATACATTGTTTTACTACTTTTATAAGAACTCTGAAAGGCTCTGCC